TTATGATATATCAAAAACATATGTTTTGCAGTTGAAAGAAATTTTAAAAACAGTTCCTTCTGAATTATTGGGGAAACCATTATTTATTGGAAAGTTGTCTGATAAGCAGTGGCATACTTTAGGAGATATACAAAGTGAGCTTCATAAGGAATATTGTATAAGAAGGGAATTATTACTCAAAAGATTAGATGTGACTATACAGTCATTTCAATGGTCTGAAAGTGCAAAAAATAATGAAAATGAAATTATTAAAAAATTTAATAGTCACAGATCAAAAATGGTTGTCGAACCTGATATAACTCTAGCTGATCTTTTAGCTGCTAGACATGATTTAGCAATTATCGAAAAAACAAGTAATGCATCAGTAAGAAAAAATACACAAAGTTCTGTTAATAAAGTTATTATTGGAAGAGTAAGTAAAATTAATTAATATTAAATAATTTTTTTTTTTTTTTTTTTTTATTCTCAACAAGAAATTAAGTATTATTTTTTTATTTTTTAGGTACCAGATAGAGGAGGTAGACCTAGTGAACAAGAAGCACCTCCTCCAGAAATGCCTAGTTGGCAAAAAGAAAGGGCGCCTGAAGCTAAAAGAGGGAGAGGAGGGGGTGGAGGAGGAAATAGAGGTAGGGGAGGGAGAGTTCAAGGTGGTTGGAATCAAGGAAATCATTATTCTGATCAAGGGAACTATCAGGGCAATAGAGATCAATATCAAGACAATCGAGGTGGTTTTAGTAATAACAGGGGTAATTATCAAAATAATCGAGGAGGATACAGAGATCAAAGAAATCGTTATGCCGGAGGAAACAGAAGAGATTAATTATAAGCATAATATATATCAACTGTGGTGCACAAAATAACAGCTTCTTTCAACTTAAATATATTAACAATAAAAAAAAAACTATATTAAAACATTTAAATCTTTTCTGATTTAACAGAATTAAAACTCTGAGAAATCTCTGAAAATACTCAAAAACTTATTTATTTTTTATTAAAGAAATAAATAATATATTAACGACTTCATATTAATTATTAATAATTGACCATTGACGTATGTCAGTAGTCAGTTCAGTGTTAAATTTAACTCCTTCTGTTGCTTGTTCCTCAGTTAAATTAAAATTAAACAATTGATATTCCATTAAAAACTTTCCATGACCATGACCAATACTTTTTTTCACTGGTACTATAATTTCAAGTTCTTGAAGTCTTTGAAAACCTTTAAAAACTACTGAACGTTCAGTAATTAGTGCTGTTGAATTTTTTTTACAGAATTTTAAATACTGAGAGTAAATCATTTCAAAATTAAATGGCTCTCTTTCGTAAGTAACAGACTGATATCTGATAGCTAAAACCTAAAATATATATATTAAGGATACAAAAATATTAGTTATAAAAAAAATAATAAAGAAATTAACAAGTAAATATTATTAATGCTTACCAAAGCTGTTTCTAAAATGCTAAGATTACTTAAAATTGAAATGTAATTATCAGAAATGTTGAATACTTTCTTTACACTATCAGCTGTTAATAAAGGTTGTTCAAAAGTTACTGTATTAAATAACTTAAACATAAGGTTTCTAAATTTAGTTTGACTCGGATCAACATCCAACTGTTTTTTTATATCATTGAGAACATCATTATTTCCAATTAATTCATTTATTCTAGTGTTCCAAAGAATTTTGTATCTTGAAAAAAAAAAAAAACAAACAATAAAATTAAAATCTTAAAGTAATTTTTTTAAAATTAGTAATATGTTAAATTAATTATGAGAAAAGAAAATTTATTTTCTTACATTTCATCGACATTAGTCAAATCTTCTTGTTTTAACAAGAAAATATTTTGAAAAAGAGTTAATCTTTCATCTAATGTTGCAGTTTGATTGAGTAAAATTATTCTTTGAGAAAATCTAGATAATACTCTTTTTTCTAACAAATCCAATATATCAGAATAATGTGTCATTCCGATTACACAAACAGGAATT